GTCAACGAGGGTTTAGGGTTTAGGGTTTGAAAATGTTGTGAAGTGCTGCCGGTTAGGGGGTTTGTCTAGGGTTTAGGGTTTAGCAGCAAACGCAGCGAGAACGAGTCTAGCAACTCCCTCTAAGCAAAACTTTACAGGCCCTCAAACCCCAAACCCTAAACCCTAAACCCTAAACCCTTATGCACCTGTTCTGTTTGCAGTTCCTTTGTCTGTTACGGCTTGAATTTCATCATAAGAGGAGACAGCGGTTTTTGTTATACCGTCAACAAACACCCCAAGTTGCTTAGACTCGCTGCAGCAGAAATAAACTTATCCAGCGTCTAGGGTTTAGGGTTTAGGGTTTAGGGTTTGTAGAGGTTCTGAAGAGCAGCTTAGCTTTTACTTGTTTGGTTGCTTATTGGTTGCTGTTTGTGCGTAGTGGTGTGTATATCGAGTCCTCTTTTTGCCCTTTCTAGGGTTTAGGGTTTAGGGTTTGTGGTTTGCCGTATATTGATTCCTGCCTTGGTTGGTTGTAAGGTTTCGAGTTTATATTTTAGGGTTTAAGGTCTTTTGTATATAGTTTAGGGTTTGTATTTCAGGGATTGTGGTTGAGGGTTTAGGGTTTAAACTCCAAAGCTTTTAGGGTTTAGCAGCGTCTAATGTTTCCAGTTAAGACTCCACTTTCAACTTCTACAGTTTAGGCTCTAGGGTTTAGGGGTTTAGCGTCTAGGGTTTATGGCTTTAGGCTTTAGGGGTTTAGGGTTTAGGGTTTAGGNTAGGGTTTAGGGGTTTAGCGTCTAGGGTTTATGGCTTTAGGCTTTAGGGGTTTAGGGTTTAGGGTTTAGGGTTTAGGGTTTGTGGTTTGACCGTATTTCGAGTCCTGCTTTGGGTCTTTCGGTGGGTTTGCAGAGGAGGTCTTGAACGACCTCATTATACACCTCAAGCATACTGACGGCGACTTGAAAAGTTTTGTTAGTATCATTGTTATTTTTAATTTTTGTGAAAATTTCTTCGCATGCAACGGGCACAATTCCTTTGTTTTTTCCGTATCCCACCATGGAGTAGCTTTTTCCTGCGCCTGTCTGGCCGTATGCAAACAAACAAGTATGATACCCCTCCCATGCATTGTTTAAAACTTCTATTCCTAAATCTGAAAATACTTTTCTTTGGTCTGCATATAAACTTCCTGCTGCAGCAACACGAACCCCGTCTACATCTATATAACCATCATGAGACCAGTAACAGTAATCAAAAGTAAAAGTACGAGGAGAACCCCCTGAACCCTTATTATTNAACCATCATGAGACCAGTAACAGTAATCAAAAGTAAAAGTACGAGGAGAACCCCCTGAACCCTTATTATTATTGTTTTCTTCTATATCTATTAAGTGGGTTTTGTTGCCTTCCATAGATACACAACAAACGGCGCCTATATCCTCCTCCCTTTGGTTAAAGGGGCGCACACGAACGGCTACCTTTACGCTACTCATCTTTACTTCTTTTTATTTTATTTTTTATTTTTTTTGTTTGTTTGTCTATTTCGTTTTTGGTTTGTGTCCTTTGTTTCGTTTCCTTCTTTTGTTCTGCTTTTTGTGCCCTTTTTGTTTGCTGTGTTGTTTTTTTTTGGTCTTTCTTTTCGTTTTTTTTTCTTTTTTCTCGCTTCACTGGGGCTTTTCTTTGCTTCTCCAGCTACGTGTTGTTTTGTTTTTTTGTTTTTTTGTGGTTTGTTGCTTGCTTTTTTTCGTTTAGGGTTTGCGGTTATAAGCGGCGTTGTAGAGCCCTTTACAGGGGCTCTTGTTTCTCCCTCTCAAGCGAAAACAAACAGCAGCAATGGGCCTGCTGCTGCTGCTGCTGCT